TTTTTTTTGTTTCAACTTTTGTCAATTGTCAAGTGAACTTTAAAAGCAAATATGAAGTGGCAAGGTGCGACGGCGGGTGTTGAAGAGCGGGTGTTCAAAGCGACTGCAGCTAGCATTCCTCTTTAAAAATTATTATTATTATTATTATTATTTAACAAATTTTACAAGGGATTAGGTTTAAACCCAGCGCTGGGAAGAGAGGAGTGCACTGTATATGTGGTTATTGTCACTTAACCCAAACTACTCGTGCCTCTTTAAAAGTTATTAATTTCAATATATATATATATTTTTTATAGAACTGATTTCAACATTAAAATAACGGTACTTAAATAAATTAGAAAATACACTAACACTAGGACGCCGAGATCCTTCCCCCCGAGTCTATTACCCCTTTAGTGACATCACCACCGTTGACCGCCCGACCCCACCATCCCGACAGTCATCCAACAGCCAAGAAAAACCATTACTCATAACCGTCATGATGTCACTCACAGTCCAATACAACTCGCGGCAACTCGGATTTAACTTGTCACGTACCGCATGAACTCGGAATCCGATTCGATTCCAGCCATCGTTTCCGGCGTCAATAGGACCTCCAGATCAACGCTCCCGTTCCCTTCCCGTCCAGGAAACGCCGAGATCTTGCCGTCAAATTTATTTGCCTTGCCGCTCCTGACCGCCAGGGGCCTCCCCCATCCGAAGTCGTTGTCGTACATCGGGAATCTCGGCGAGCTTCCCATCGTGAGAGTCGCGCCGTCGAAGTTTCCCAGCGGGAAGCACCGTGGATTCTTTTCCCAATCGCTGATGACGCGACGGACTGCACCGTCGTCGTACGCCTTCACGGCCTCGCTCAGCTGCCCCGCGCACCAGCGCAGATCACGTGAGGTGACGTCAGCTGCTGACGCGTAAACAGGTATGCTTTGAATCGCGTTCCCGAAGTACAACGGATCTAGCTTCGGGTTCAATCTGGGGCGGACATTGACTGCCATCCTAAACGTTGTCGTTTTCGAGGCTGGAAGCTTCCTGGCACGTGTCACCGTCCGCCACAGGAGGGCGCAAAGCGACTGGAACGACGAAATCTCCACCGTCTTCGACTCCGTTTCTGTCTTCGGAACGGCGGTGGTGTTAAACAACCAGTTCTCCAGAATGCCGGTCATGTTCTTGCCGTTACTCTGGCGGTACTTGTCGTTACTCTGCTTCCCCATTATTTCAACGGCGACAAGACCACCATTTTCTGGCCATTTCTTGCCGTTAACTGTCGCTTTGAGCTCCTGAATTGCTTCTCTACTGAAACTGAAGATTCTCTCACTCAATGGTTCGTTTTCGTTGAATGTTACCTTGGGACCGCCTTCTGGCAGCCGGAGAACCGCCGGGGATACCAAAACGGAATCCCTCGTAAAATCCGGCTGCCTGGCGATTTTCTCGATGTCAATGCCGCTACCCATTTTTCTACAAACTTCAGCAAAAGTGTTGAAGAAATTCCAGAGGGATGTCCCATCGGTGACGGCGTGGTTCATGGCGCACCCAATGAACACGCCGTTGGCAAGCTCTGTGACCTGAACCGCCATAATGGGCTTGAAATGGCCCTGATAACTGACTGTACTTTTGAAGGGAAAAAATTCCCTGACAAACTCCGGCACATGAATTGGGCTAATTACGTCGCGGATAAACAATTTGTTGTACTTAGCATGGTAGAATTCCGCCCCTGCGTCATTACAGGTTATGTAAACATATCCATCGGGATCGGTGCGGAGACGACCAGCGAGAGGAGGGAAGAAAGTTAGAGTTCTGGAAAGGCCCTGTTTGAGCTGAGGAATCAAGGAGTCCATTGGGAGAGAAGGGCGAGTGAAGAGACATCCCTTTTGGATGTAGTGGACGGATAGCATGGGGAGGTCGGAAACGGAGAGCTTAAGGTCTCCCATGGTTGATTTCTTATCGGGGACGATGACGGTTTTGGAGAATAGAGTGAGAGATTGCGGCGCGGAAGGCATTTTCGCTCTGCTCTCTTTGGAAGTGTCGGGTGATGGAAATGAACGCAGTGGGAGGCGTATTTATAGGCTATAAAAGAG